CTGTCTTTCTGTCTGTCTGTCAAACTACCTATCATCTATCTATCTATCTGTCTGCCTGTCCGTCTGTCTGCTATATGTCTGTCTGTCTGCCTTTATACCTATCTATCTGTCTGTCTGTCTGTCTGTCTGTCTGTCTGCCTGCCTGCCTGCCTGCCTGCCTGCCTGCCTGCCTGCCTGCCTGCCTGCCTGCCTGCCTGCCTGCCTGCCTGCCTGCCTGCCTGCCTGCCTGCCTGCCTGCCTGCCTGCCTGCCTGCCTGCCTGCCTGCCTGCCTGCCTGCCTGCCTGCCTGCCTGCCTGCCTGCCTGCCTGCCTGCCTGCCTGCCTGCCTGCCTGCCTGCCTGCCTGCCTGCCTGCCTGCCTGCCTGCCTGCCTGCCTGCCTGCCTGCCTGCCTGCCTGCCTGCCTGCCTGCCTGCCTGCCTGCCTGCCTGCCTGCCTGCCTGCCTGCCTGCCTGCCTGCCTGCCTGCCTGCCTGCCTGCCTGCCTGCCTGCCTGCCTGCCTGCCTGCCTGCCTGCCTGCCTGCCTGCCTGCCTGCCTGCCTGCCTGCCTGCCTGCCTGCCTGCCTGCCTGCCTGCCTGCCTGCCTGCCTGCCTGCCTGCCTGCCTGCCTGCCTGCCTGCCTGCCTGCCTGCCTGCCTGCCTGCCTGCCTGCCTGCCTGCCTGCCTGCCTGCCTGCCTGCCTGCCTGCCTGCCTGCCTGCCTGCCTGCCTGCCTGCCTGCCTGCCTGCCTGCCTGCCTGCCTGCCTGCCTGCCTGCCTGCCTGCCTGCCTGCCTGCCTGCCTGCCTGCCTGCCTGCCTGCCTGCCTGCCTGCCTGCCTGCCTGCCTGCCTGCCTGCCTGCCTGCCTGCCTGCCTGCCTGCCTGCCTGCCTGCCTGCCTGCCTGCCTGTCTGTCTGTCTGTCTGTCTGTCTATCTATCTATCTATCTATCTATCTATCTGTCTGCCTGTATATCTGTCTGTCTGTCTATCTATCTATTAACTACATAAATTATGCATTTTTATTCTGACTTTGTATAAAAATGTCTTTTTGTAACTTTTTGAGTTACAACATAAAGTTAACAGTTATATAAGAATTAAAGATGCAAATTGCACTATACAATACATCCATCTATCTATCATATGAGTATGTCATGCAGGCAGAGATTTTTCATGACGTATACAATATACAAACTGCAAAAATTCAAAAAACAATTATGATCATAGCCTTTGTCGCTCCCTGGACTCTACTATATGAATAGCTACTTCTATTCACATAAAATTCAAAGTCATATAACATGTACAGAAACACTCACACATGTCTATCTATCTATCTGTCTGTCTGCCTGTATATCTGTCTGTCTGTCTGTCTGTCTATCTATCTATTAACTACATAAATTATGCATTTTTATTCTGACTTTGTATAAAAATGTCTTTTTGTAACTTTTTGAGTTACAACATAAAGTTAACAGTTATATAAGAATTAAAGATGCAAATTGCACTATACAATACATCCATCTATCTATCATATGAGTATGTCATGCAGGCAGAGATTTTTCATGACGTATACAATATACAAACTGCAAAAATTCAAAAAACAATTATGATCATAGCCTTTGTCGCTCCCTGGACTCTACTATATGAATAGCTACTTCTATTCACATAAAATTCAAAGTCATATAACATGTACAGAAACACTCACACAGTCTTAAGCCTTTAAACTCCGGCTGATTTGCACATGCACACATTTGGTAGAAGATGTGATAATTCCTCTCATTCTCTGACTGCAGGAGAACAAATGAGATATTATGAGTTTTGCACCTTTATTATGTAGTTATTCTGTTATGTCAAGTTTACAAACCATAAAAAGCATCTTTCACCTGAAAAACCACCCTTGACTTTTCCAGAAGGTATGTCCTCATGTTGGCACCAATGATTTGGTATCTTTTGTCGAAGCTGATCTCAGTGTACTTCCCAAATCGACTGCTGTTGTCATTTCTGGTTGTTTTTGCATTTCCAATGGCCTGCAAACACATAAAATATTGCAAAATATATATAGATAAACAAGTGTATGATGATCCAGTGATCTGATCCTGATGGTTTGTTTTACCTCAGTGATCGGGTTGGATGCCAAAACTTTGTCCTCCACCCGAGTTTTGCTGCCAGATTTGCTAACCACAGCGAAGTACCTCATAGCATAGCGAGCAGATACGGTCTTTCCAGCCCCGGACTCGCCGCTCACAATGATGGACTGATTCTTGTTATTCCTGCAGTTTGAAAAAAAAAAAAGTTGCACTAAAATACCAACTGGGTCTCGTTTTGATCTTAGCTTGTAAAACCTGTACAGTTGGTTATTTAGCATATGTTTGTGCCAGTTCAAAACATAAAGTCTTTCTGAATCAACCAAGACTTATAGAGGTAGTTTAAGACATTATGCTTCACCTGGCCATTTGTTTGTAGGCCTCTTCAGCCACAGCAAATATATGAGGGTCCAGGTCGCCCATGTTTTGACCAGAGTAAGCATGGATGACCGCATCTCCATAGATGGGAAGCTGCTTGTATGGATTGACTGCCACCAGGATAATTCCTGAGATGGTAAATATCAGGGTGAAGTAATCACATCAGTGAAGGAGGTTCACATTAAGGAAGCAATTCTACAGATGACCTACCGCAATATGTGTAGATGATTTTGGACTCGACAAATCGGACCTTGAGGTTGTGGAGCACGGCCGGCTCGTGCAGGTAACTGAGGGCTGTGAGGTCATTCTCACCCACCAGGATGTCCGGGTTACGGAGAGGTGGCAACTTCTCACCCCCTTCCAGAGGATACTGCAACTCCTGCAAGAGAGGTTCACAAAGAGAGCCATTTACTTCATTCCTGGATGAATCAGCCGTTTGAACGAATCGAATGAATGAATTAATCACTCGATGACTTTCTCATTAAGACATTTACTGCCACCTACTGGCAGTTGTCGTTTCTAATTTAGAGCATAATTTCATTAAAAAATAATTTAATATTTCCATATCCTCCTGGGACCCAGGCATAGACATTCGTCCTCTGTAGAGGACATTATACTTTAGTGAATTTCTCTGAGAGCATTCAGGGCTTTTTAGAAATATCAAATGTTTGGAGGTTTGATCATAAACACACCTTCTCCTTGGTCTTTAAACATGACTGATATTGACAGAATGATCAAATTTAGCACTCTTATGGAAATATGATAATGTTTTGTAATTATCTTTTAAATCTGACTGATTTTCAAATTGCTTGGCGTTAATAAACATCTCAGAAAAATGTTATGGGGTTTCAAATCGGAATATGACTTTTTGTTACGAAACAGGGCATAATTTTCATACATGTCTTCAGTAGAGGACACCAGGACAAACGGCTGTTAATCAGGTATTTTGGAGAAACACAACAAGAAATTACAGATCGATATTCCTATGAAATATGAGATATTTTTATGAAAATGTTGCTCATTTATTACTCCCATTATTACACTTCTTTTTCATTATGGTTTGCCCCAAGAACACATTAATATGCTAATTAGATGCAATGTATAGATACATTAAATAAAATGGGAATATCAATTTATGGACATTTTACGCACATATTCCATAAAGTACAGTAGTAGTATATCATTCTGTTATATCTTTCATAATATAGTCGAGAATCATCTTTGTACAAAGTTTGGCTAAAAATAGCCTGAAACCTAAAAACTGATTGGTGAATGAAAAAAATAAATCCTTGTTTTTGCCTATACATGCCTTTTCATGTCGATTTATTTTTTTTTATAACTTAGTCCTGCATAGAATAAAATACGAATAAAATATCTTTTTTCAAACATGTTTTTTCTGCATTTGTTTCTTATGCTCCAACCAATGTAATGATATAAAAAAAGAAAGTTTTTTATGGTTCTCAGGAGGATATTAATAATAAAATATGAAAATAAAAATCCAAATTAATGGGGGAAAAAAAAACAATTAAAGGGACAGTTCACCCAAAAATTAAAAATGAATATATTTATTTTTAAAGCTACTTTTTGTAAAGTCTGCTTGATGCTTTTGTCATTTAACACAGTAATGGCTTTAAATGATCTTTTGGGGTTAACTTCTGAGCCAATTTTAATTAGGAATTAATTTGTGGTTAAATAAATTAATTGCCACATTGTGTAATTAATTAGATTAAATTTTTTATCACTTGACAGTGGATTGAATTTCTGACACTGTATGTTTTAATATTAACATTAATATTTTAGGTTAACATTTATATGAGTGTTTGTTTCATGTCTTTTGGGGTTAATTTCTGAGCCAATTTTAATTAGGAATTAATTTGTGGTTAAATAAATTAATTGCCACATTGTGTAATTAATTAGATTAAATTTTTTATCACTTGACAGTGGATTGAATTTCTGACACTGTATGTTTTAATATTAACATTAATATTTTAGGTTAACATTTATATGAGTGTTTGTTTCATGTCATTTAACTCAGCTCACCAACTTTCACCATAAAATAAAAATTTTAACATTTTAAAATAACTTTTTTTTTTCAATTTTCAACTGGAAAACTCAAAAAACAAAACAAAACTCAAAACAACAACAAAAAACACTTTCCTTATAAGAAGTTTTTTGGACATCATTGAAAATTCTGCAAATAACCACTGGAGAATCTTGATAATGCAGTATAAAAATGACTTTTAAAAAAAGTCTATAAACAGCTGCTCATTGTTCAGATTTAACTCTGGTTTTTGTCCTACCGTCCCATCCTCCAGCTGTAGTTCCAGGACAGTCTCACCAGGCTTGAAATCTGTCAGAATCTCCGCAGATTGCCAAACATGTTCCGCGTCAGGGATCCACACCCTGTTATACTACAACACAAAACTCACATTACACAGTGTATTCCATAAGACTGTGCTTTTGGAAAATAAGAAGTTTCGTATGGCTTATGTTTTTGAGCTGTTACAAAATACCAACGAATAGGAAACGATGACCATATGTCACAAAGCTTGAATCAATAATGTTGAGAGTCTTCGACAAGACTATTATATTCTCAAATGCATGCATGATAGACAAAAATATCACGTTAATAAACTTGCTAAAACGCTTCTCAAAAGTGAAGCACTTGCTAAGCATACCTTTGTATACAACTCCGACAGAGCCATGGCAACAGGTGTCGCGTCCCTTCGCACAGATTTATTTTATATCGAAGGCACTTTCTCATGATACTTACAGGCGAAACTAATATTCATACGCCTATTTTTTTAGCCATGGCACCAGCTAAATGTCTGGAAATGACGGCGGGAACTTCCTCGCTCACCTGCGATCGCCGGCGAAACTACGAGTCCTACTATAGTGAAGGAGAGCTGCTTAATATTCATGAGTGTCATTAACATACACGGAACACGTATTAATATTCATGAACGCGTCTTTGTTGTTGTTGTTGTTTTCTGCGTTGTATTTCACTAATTAGTACATATCAACCTACCAAAAATATTTGAAAAAGTTCCAATTATATTCTCAGATGCATGCATGATAGACAAAAATATCACGTTAATAAACTTGCTAAAACACTTCTCAAAAGTGAAGCACTTGCTAAGCATACCTTTGTATACAACTCCGACAGAGCCATGGCAACAGGTGTCGCGTCCCTTCGCACAGATTTATTTTATATCGAAGGCACTTTCTCATGATACTTACAGGCGAAACTAATATTCATACGCCTATTTTTTTAGCCATGGCACCAGCTAAATGTCTGGAAATGACGGCGGGAACTTCCTCGCTCACCTGCGATCGCCGGCGAAACTACGAGTCCTACTATAGTGAAGGAGAGCTGCTTAATATTCATGAGTGTCATTAACATACACGGAACACGTATTAATATTCATGAACGCGTCTTTGTTGTTGTTGTTGTTTTCTGCGTTGTATTTCACTAATTAGTACATATCAACCTACCAAAAATATTTGAAAAAGTTCCAAAGTCCATAAATAAGTTTGTCTTCATTTTTAAATAAACTCCCAAAGTTACATCCTGAGGTAATACAATTCAATTTAATTTCTAATGAAGAAAATCGAGTTGAAACGTAGTAGAGAGGACAGAAATTATGAAAAGAAACATGGATAAAAAAAATAACAGCATTGAAAGCATTTCTATACAGTATCATATTTTAAACTATGGTCGCACATGTGCTTTAATATAATACATGGAATACGAATATCCCTAATTATTTAAAAAAAAAGTAACTTTTAATAAGTTCGGCATATGACCTATTTAATATTCATGAGATTATTCTTCGCCATAGTGCGGTTCGCGTCGCGCGAACTTTGACTGCTTCCCACTGTGCGCGAGCGAGTCTCGTGACGCTTTGCTTACCGTAGGGGTGTGTTCATTTGAAGAAGGATTTGAGAGCAAGGGAACAGGATACTGCTCTTACTCATTCAGTCAATGACTGCACAAGTATGCGGACATATGATCCAGCTGATCGGACATGAAGACAAGTTTTTTGCACATTAAAATACAAAAGACAGTTAAGCTAAATAATTGATCAAAATTGTTTATTGCCTTTTTTTTTTTTTTTTTTTAC